CGAAGGGGTTAAATTTATGGTGCAGAGCCGTGCACGTGGCATTATTGTCTCCTTTAATATTTGTATTGCCAGTTTTGGAGTACCGTGGACAATGGGAACATCCAAGATCGAGCGTGTCCGTGTGTGATTAGGTTAGGACGGTCGCTCATGAGTCATGAGGAATATGAGAGACCAAATTTTATGGATATTACAGATTTTATTTAATTTAATTTAATTTTAATTTTATCAAAATTATAGGTTTTCTAATTACTAGTTGAGATGTTTGTATTGTTAAAATTATTTACTTTCCGAAAATAGTATTGTCAAAATTTACAAGCGAGATAGCAGGATTTTGATGGAGTTCGTAAGAAAATAAAAGTGGTTTATAACATTGGTTAGTAGTCACTTAGTTGGAAAACCTATCTAGGACAAAAGCAGAAAGAGAATAGTGTTAGACTGATAAATAAATTTAATTCACCTCCGTTGATGTTCTTTTTTCAATTTTTCATAATTTTCCTCGCTTTTGGGATGAGATATATTCCGACCACAATCCGGCTAGTGTCTCGGTGGTGTGTCGAAGCCTTTCCTCTAAAGGTCTGCTCAAACGGCCCTCTATGTTCTTTGATTGAAATCGATCATTAGTATTGTCGACTCTTATTCGACATGAATTCCTTTTTGAGAGATGATTTACAATCTCGGATCTAGGATCCCGACGACTCTAATGGTGGATTAGAGGATGGTGACTTTAAGACACACAGATCTTATTGTTAAACATCATCTCCATCTCTGTTCGGCGGTTGTGGGCCTCTTTCTCTCACTCCCAAAGGCAATGACAAGTTTCAAAGATGGTATCTTTTCATTATGGTGCTCGAAAAACTTTGTTCTACCAATTGTTCTCTTTGGATATGAAGATTGTTCCTTTGGATCCAAAATTACATATTGGTTATTCTATGATGGAATATGGTCTTTGTGGTCGAGCGGCTTCGTCTCGCCAAGATGGATTAATCGGATTGCTCAAATCCGAGATAATCCATGCCATCTCATGTACTTGTTGTGTATGTTGGTGATTTATCAGGATCTTTTGTTGATCACACTTTCAAGTATGCTTTGGTGTTTTTGGAGGCAGTCAATCTTATACCGAGGTAACAAAAGGAGCCATCGACTCTTACGTCTACAAAATGACTTTTTATTGAAGCCATTTGAAGAAACTACAAGAACTTTTCAATTATGGCCATTGAAGAATATCAACAAAGGAATCGAGATTATGGATCTATCATGGGTGATATTTACAACCAATATTGTGCAATCGCCTGGTTCAGGAGATGAAAATGTTGGTGTGGTTAGCGATGTAACTGATGGATCGCAACCTTTTGATTTTCACAAAAAGTTTTGGCGCTACATAACAGAAAAGATAGCCCAACAAGAAAATCAAAATAGACTGACGACGAAGACGATGAAGGAAAATAACAGATTGATGAGTCTGTTAGCGTGTAAGGCTTACCTACATCCGGAAGCAACGTGTTTTTTCACTTTCTCGTTTATTTCGTACTACTTAAGTATTGGTTGTATGGTTTGCGGAACTTCAATTTGTATGCTCATTGATACATTTGTATTATCGTTTTCAAATTAATAATGAAGATGTTAAAAAAAAAAAAAAAAAATTAATTCACCAATTTTAGGTAAATAGTTTGGAGACTAATAAACAACCTAAAGTGATTATTTGCATATATGATCATTTCAAAGAGAAACAGTCTTTAGTTTTTGTTTTGTTAAAAGTACATAATTGAAAGATTGATTGCTTATTCTTCGGTCAGTTTTGTCCATACGAAAACCATGGAGCAAGAAGGGTCTGTGATAGTCGCCCCTAATCGACACCAGTCACAATGTCTGATGTAGTATTGCAGGCGAACTTCACCAACCTAAATAGTATATTTTCATCATAAAACAATACTCCCTCTGTTCCTTCAAGTTTGATATTTTGGTTTTTTTCTTTGTTCATGAAAGTTTGATTTTTTAGAATTTATTTAATGTATTTGTTTTATTTAAATTAATTAAAATGAAAAAAGAGGGTAATGATGGAATGTGAAACTCCCACTTTTGTTGTATTGTTAGTAACAAACACGTTATCTTCCATTTAAATAATCATATATTTTAATTAAATAATAAAAAATTTTGTTTCTTAATTTATGTGCAAAACTGAAAACATCAAACTTGAAGGAACAGAAGTAGTACATAATAAGTAGGCAACAAACGATGTAATATACTAAAACCATCGAACTAAACATAAATATAATCTCTTAATTATTCTCGTCGAAAACTCATGACATGGTACGTGTTCTCTCCATTTTCCGTTGCCTTAATTAATACGGTGAAGGTGCCGGCACGTAAGGCATGTGGTCCATTGATGTAGCCGGCTCCGGTGCCATCTCGCCCAACCTAACCGGTCCAACCGGTCCGGGAGTGTCCATTACAATTCCCGAGCTCCTAATTTCCGACATCGCTCTTCTTGACTTTCCTTCTTGTGATTCACATAGCTTTGGCAAATACACTCCTATAGCAAACCAAACAAATAAATTATAAACCGCAATCTGTTAGATTAAAAAGTAATTTTAACCGTACCGGTCTCCCCAAAACCGTACCTTCGCCTGCAGCAAGGTTGAAGAAGAGATCGACGACGTTAGGGCATTGGTTTAAGCATTTAACCGAGCAGAGTTTCTGTGTAAACCGGGATTCCAACAATGCGTCCGAAGATATACCCAAAGATTTCCTGTCTAGACCACACGCTTTAATGCACTCGTCTGATTCAATTATGTTTGTGACCTTGTCCGCTTCTATCTCCGATGATCGACATGTGTACACCTCGATCCCGCTCCTCCTCACGCTCTTCTCCAAAACGCAACGTTTTCCAGTGGACGAGACCGCGAATGCACACGTGTCTTCATCCAGATTCTCGCACTTCACATCGTGTCCTACCAAATTAATTACAATGCTACTTAGTATATATATATGTGCATGCAATGACAATAACATGCCTTTGAAAATGTCTTAGTTAAGCAGAACATATAATCGAGAAAGCTAATTTAGATTTGTTAAATTTTATGATGCAAGTTCAAAATGTTAATAGCATAGAATTAATTATATCTGCTTGTATATACAATAAAA